ATATAGTACCCTCAATAAACATATGCGAAGCAAAATAGGTCGAAAGACCGAATTTAATACAGAATCACAAATGTCACGAACTGTAGGAGTCGTGTAGGCCTGTCACCTTACCAAGCCCCTCAAAAAAGTTCTTTGAAAAATATAAGCCCCGGGCTTATTTTCGGAATTTTACGGTAGTTCGTTTGACCTCGCTCCGTTCTGCTTGCATTTAAGCCTCAGTATGATCACCGTCTTTTCCCCTCGTTTTATTTGGGAAAGGAGAGCCTGATCACAGATACAACTATCAAAGTCGATAGAAACCGAGAGCGAGCCGTCTAATTGTTTTAGCATAACCCAGTGGCTGATCTATTAAATATAGACTATTTATAAAATTGATTTATTGACGGTTTTGTTTGATACTCTGATGATTGGGCCATATGCACGAAAAGCTGTGCGCAGTAGGCCGGTGCCAATGTAGCCAATCAGATTGCGGGTTTGCCAAGGTCAGCCACTGGGTTTTGCCAAGTCATAATTAGACTGCGAGCAGTCGGTCTTTTCTCCTCAGATCTTTGGCGCGAGCGGAAATGTTATAATTATGCAAATTAGGTGAAAAAACGAGGAGAGATTGGGGAGAGGGAGGCTTCGCCGCTCGCCGCTCGATCGCGCGCGTGCCCTAAAAACATTAGGAAAAGAAAGAGACTGCTCGCAGTCTAAGTCATAATAGGCTCCAGACAGTCCTCTTGGACACATTGACCTCTAATTGACTGCGTCATAACTGACATTGTTAAAATAGTTCTGGGCTTTTTCGGTGCTTCTCTTTGACGAATAAGAAGTGAATAATTGTTTTATCTGAGTTCCGTTATTGGTGATAAAAGTTAGCCAATCAGAGCGCGAGAAATAAGACGTGGTTTGCTAAACTATTATGGAACTATTGATTCAAACTTGTTCGTGTTTACGCGACTTGTTTTTTATGTGTTAAATTTTAGGGTCTTTATCGACCTTATCAGTAGATTTGACCTACTGGGACATGCGAATTCGTGTGTTATCTGCACTGAGTGATGTAGCAATATAATAAAAGTTGCATTACCACAAGGAACTGATCTTTAGATTTGAAATGATTTTTCGATGAGGTAACTCTTCGTTTTAGTGGCGCAAATCATTAAAATCAGACCAATGTTTTGCCTTCTTTGATTAATGAATACAAATAAAGTGAGCAAGGCTGATACTACGTAGAACACTTAAAGCGACAACGACATGATAGAGTCCAAACTGAAAGCCAAAAATGCAACCGTGGACAGCTGTTTCGACCTGGTTGGGTCTCGTTTGGCTTTCAGTTTTGGACTCTATCATGTCGTTGTCGCTTTAAGTGTTCTACGTAGTATCAGCCTTGCTCACTCTATTTGTATTTCTATTTTTGGCTGATTTGATCTTTTACAGATCCTACGTATACCAGCAGCATTTTCGTTCGCGGTCCTTTGCTACTTATTCACTTTTTGATTAATGGCCTGTAATCTTCAAAGTGGAAACAAGAGCAATTTATTAAAATTTCTAAGTAATTGCCTTTTTAGGCAAATGGGTCCAATAAGTTTTAAAATTAGAACATGACTTGATCGAATCCGAAATGCATACCAGGTTTTAATATATTGGTGCGTTAGTGGCCTCAGTGACGTCATTTGCCTAAATTAGGGACACAAAAATTAATTATTATATTGATTCCGGAAGTTTCATTTTAAGAAAAATAATTTGCCGCGAACATACCGGTAGCGAAAAATAATTAACGTGAGAAACATTCAGAATTCCTTTTCAAGTAAGAAGACTTTTTCTTAGTCCAAACAGCGCGTGTAATGTTTTAGATGAAAGGGAAGATCATTGTCTCCATTGAGTGCCAGTGGGCATGAGGACATTCCACCGGCGAGTCGAGATGAAGCCTTTATCGCCCCTGCATCGGGCCATTTGCGATATTTATTTGTAGAATACATATTGAATCGTGTTAAGTGACTTTTTAAGTGCCTGCAAATTTTGCGAAAGGCTCTTGATAAAACGTGCCACTACATACAAACTTTGGTCTGTGCCAACCACTTAAAATGCCATTTGGAAAATTAGCCGCGCTTTTTAGTGAAAATTTCACTGACTTTAGAGCTAAGAAACGGACTTACACGGTGCTTTATTTAAAATACCTTGAACACTTAAGGATAAAATACTGCGTCAGTTCGACTTAGGCAAAAGTATTCGCCTTTTGTTTAGATAATAACAAGTTGAACTGCGGACCACGTGGAAACTCAGTAAATATTCTTCGAGTTTGCATCGAACGTGCACCAAAAAAACGCCAGTTACAAATAGTTCAACTTGTGAAGGTATATAAAAACAGAAATAAGGTTTTATACATTTCTAAATTTACCGTAGAGACTCTATCAGTCAATTCCGTTTACACGAAATAAATTGCTCAAAAAATTCAGAGCGAAACAATGCGAGATTACATCGTGGTCATGGTTTTACAAATTCGATTAAGTTTTTCATTTGGGCTCGTGTGGTATTCGTGTGCGAAAAACCCGGCATAAAAAAAACAACTTTCTGCTAAAATCGGTGTCAAATCCTTAACTAAACATACCTGTATATAAAGACCTCCTTCACTGATGCGGTGAGTTGGAAAGAACAGCGTTCGAGCCGCAGTTACAAATGGCTGTGCCTCAGTGCTACGTATCAGTCAAAGTTAAAATGCACTTGTCACAATTGCTAAAAATACAAACGATTAATCGTTGGAAAGCACTTATATCTGTTCTCAATTAACGCGACTTTCTTTAGCAGCACGGGTTGAAATTTGGAAGATCATCTGAAAATAACTCGAGGCGAGATATAAATACTGTGCCGGCGGGGCTTTGTCGCAATAAAATACAAGATATTATACGATCCAATATAACTCTTCAAAACCCAAATGGCAGCGAGTGACGGGCGCGCAAATTGCTCTCAAAACGGTTAAAATTCCTGCATAAACTTAGCATGAATTTCATGTGATTTCAAAACAAATTGTTACTATGTTTCTCAAACACCTTCCATATAGCCATTTTAGCCGCAAAAATGGTTTTCCGTCTTATATTGAACGGGGGCGCCGAGAAAAAACTGATTTTATTTTTGTGTGTCATTTTCTAAGAGGTTTTTGGCGATTGATCATGTATCGGCGTGGCACAACCCCGATATACTGATATAATGAACAGAGATGGACTGAGGCATCCGATATGTCATTTTACTGAAAATGAATGACAAAACTCGCTTGAGGAACAAGGCATTTCTGAAATCACTGAGTGAACTTTTTCACGTATATAGCAAACATTAGATACCGTATAACGAACAAAATATTTGGCAGTCCCAAGCATATTTTGTTTGATATATCGGCGTTGCTTTGTTACAGAGCACTAGAAGCTAAGCGGAGCCCAAGCATCGATTACTTAGGAGCCTAGCTTGCTTCCGTGGCTGGTCAAAGTCTAGCATTTGTTTGCCGTTATATTGCCAAATCGGTATCCGATTGAGAGGGGAAAACAAAAGCGGCTCTAAAAGGTACCGCGATAAGAAACAAATGGCGCTCTTGAAATGCGAAGATAAGAATTACGACAATTAACAACCTCAACATAGCATTGCGACTACGTGTACGAAATTCCTTGGGCGGCGAGGATCGATACAGCGATGTGGTCGCTCCCTAAAAAAAGGCGGTATACGTAATGAACGCCGGCGAAAGCTTTAATCTACGAGTATCATGACATTTGGGCAATATATTTCAGAGCGCTACAAGATTTATGATTGCAATCTATGGAAATATTTAGAGTCATGCATAATCGTGTCGTGTACTGAAGTACTTCACTTCACTTAGGGGCTAATATAAGCCGATAATAAAAGCACATCTCTTTAAAACCTTTTTGATGCCGGCAGTGTTGGTCATATTAAAACAGTCAAAACAGTTACGCTGTCTTTTGGTGTCAACAAATTACAAAATTCAATTCAATCTTGAATAAGTTAATAGCCGTGAGACCAAGGGGCAAAACAATTTTGACTTCCTGGATTTAAAGGAGATAAGCTTAATATTGTTCAAGTTCAAGTTCATCGTTCGTAATCCGTCTCAATCTTCCCCATCCTTGTCCCTGTTTGGTTTATTATTACCTCTTTGGTGATTTTCTACCTTGAACTATTATTTTGAGGTTTCTTTTGCTATGAAGGCTATTTTACACATAAAAAAATGAGTTAATATACCGCGACCATCTTTTATCTTAGTCTGATCTTCGTTATTCTGAGAGCAATTCTCGGTTTTTACTGTCACGCCATAAATAAAAAAAATCGAAACCGTTCAATGAATGAAGTCAAGGAAATGACATGTCATAGATAATAAATAGATAAGGAATCAGTCCAAGTCTCAGGTCGGTGCGGTATTCCGTACTCGAGTTATTTGTCAAAATGTTCCACACAAATTTATAGAGCTCAGTATGGAGACGCCATGTTGGTGACCCTCTGAGGGGCACCAACATGGCGGCCGGAAATAGGAAAAAACATCTGGAGTTCACTTTTGCCAGAAAGGATGTTTGTTTTCTCTTGTGAACTTCCGAATATTTATATAAATATTTCTCCTTAAACTTCAATTGTTTAGAATGCTGAAAATCACCCGAAGAGTGACTTTTTAGATACGGAACAGCTCTGTCACGGCCGTCCTCCTGATGTCACGTACGATGAAAACTCGGAAATTTAAACTGTTCTATTTTCAAAAGGAAGCATGGTATCGAGCTAAGAAATTGTGAAAAGATATATATTAAGGTAATCTTTCGTTGAATGAAGGTAAAAATTCTGTAGGCCTCGCGGTTTTGAATTTTAGAATTTGATGACGTCAGGTGAAAACCAAGAATTAGTTCTTTCCATTTCTTCGAGGACTGAGCCACGAATGTAATTTCTAAGGGAGAGATAAAATTCAGTGCGGGAGTGACGATTTTGAGGGGTCCGGAATTTGGAAGTGGAAATATTTCTCCTGAAATACATGGCATGAGTCTCCTGTAGCTCAGTGGTAGAGCATCCGACCAGTGTGCAGGAGGTCATTGGCTCGACTCTTGTAGGGAGAAATCGGACATTTTTTCCGAGTTTACTTGTGTCACTGCCTGATTTTAAACATCTTTCTCATACATGGCATAGTAAATGATAACTGTTCTTCGGCACTTCAGTCTAAAATCAGATAGTGCCACAACTGATTTTTCCTCTGACATTGCTGGAAGTCAGCCCAGTCATGTTGCACGTACCTGCCACTTGAACAACCACAGTATAACTTTTCTGATTTTTTTTTCAGATCGTGACTGAAAATTGTAAAAAAACGAGAACCTTAAACCCGCAAGAATGTCATGCCATACAGCATCATGGTTCTTGGCCTTTAGAAATATATTAAATTTATGGGCTTATTCTGTGAAATTAAAGGGGCTGTGTCACAATATTTTAAGTTATTTTTCTGATGTACAAAATCATCTTGAAATTGAAGGAAACCTCAAATAATAGTTTACTAGGGTAGAAAAAAAAATCAAAGAAGTAATGATGATAAACCGAAAAGGAACAAGGATGGTTACGACTACTGAGGAAGATTAAGACGGATTGCGAACGACGAACTTGAAAAAGTTTCTACTGATTTTCCAAGATGCGCCATCCGTGACGTAGCTCCTTTAAACATATGACGATTAAAATTATCCCATATATGGTAAATATCGGCATCAAGCCATAAGTGCACGTGTTAAGGTGCACTCAAACACTTACTCAAGATCAAAATATGAATTCTCCTAACTGATTGCCATACGTTCCTTCCAATGTTGTTTCTGAGAATTTGGTGTTACATCAAGACAACATCCACTAGTTGATGATTGTCTTTATTCTCATCACCTGTCTGCTTAGCAATGTATTGATATTGTAAGGAGAAATACGATGTTGATCACATGTGATCACTCTTGGAAGTGGCAGGTTAAATATCACGAGCCTAGCAGCTTGATTAAAGTCATAAAAGGTTCGAGTTTGTTGGACTGAATCGAATATGAACCAGTTTCAAGTACAAACCAAATTAGGCGTTGTTTATATCTATTCTTTACGCTTTCGTGAGATTCACCACGATCTTTAGTTTATTATCTGATAAAGTATAAGTGAGGCCATTAGAGGTTTAGTATCAGAGAGAAAAATGCGGAATATGAAAACATAGCCTAGTATGGACATGTTCGTGAAATACACTTCAACTGAGAGGAAGGAACTACATCTTCAATTCTGTCAGCTCGTATAATCTTCAGAATTTTCCCCAATTTTAGCCATCCCTGTTCCTGTTTGGTTTATTTTTATCTCTTTGGTGTTTTTATACCTTGTTGTTTTGAGGTTTTCTTCGTTTTCAGTACCCTCAAGTACACTTGAACTCTGCAAACTCGGCTAAAACATTTCAAAGAGTAGTTTAGAAGTTTACTCACGAGTTCATTTCATTCCGCACTCTAGGAGGTAGAACGACTAGGGGTTCAAACACTGTCAGGGAGCCTTGTGTAGTGTGTTCAGTGAGCAGGATACTTTACTCTCACAGTGCCTCGGCTCCACTCAGGAGTATAAATAGGTACCGGCGGATGACACAGCGGCAAAATGACTGCGCGTGCGGAATTGTTTTCAAGGTAAAAATCTTATCTGTTCCGTGACGGCCTTATCCAGGCGAAATGAAAACAAATTCCGGGAATTTTGAATTGCCGCCATTATGTTTGTATGGAAATGAGTTAGCAGGTTGGCGCACGCGCAGTCATTTTGGCCGCTGTGTCCCGGCGGATTGTTATAGGGAAACCTGACTAAAATGCTGAGGGGGGGGGGGGGGGGGGGGGGGATAACTTTTGATGGGCTAGCATCCTATCCAGTGATTAGCGATACTCGGACCGCTCGATCCAAAATTCAACGCGCTTACCATTAGGCTTTGTTAGATTTTGTTCTTATAGCCCCCGAAGAAGGTTTGTACGTTTTACAAACCGAAATATCGGGCAATAATGATTTGTATTAGCCTCCTCCGCAGGCAACTCCTGGGTCTCCGGGGTCTGGGGCAAGAAAGGGGCAAAAGAGCGGGCACTGGGGCCGAGGCGAGCCCCCACTCAGTCACCTTTTTGTCCTCTGTACCAGTCTCTCACTCGTGCCTTTATGTAAGAGTTGCCTGCGGAGGAGGCTAGATTTGTATATCCTTCTTTTTTGTTTTAATCTTCTGCGTCTTACTTTTACTGCCGTAAGGATCAGTCTTGTCGTCTATTTTTTTTTATTACCATTGATTAGGCACCGCTCTTCCCACCCATAGGAAAAGTTACCGCAGCAGCATTGCATGCTTTGGGTAGGCGTGTGCTGCGCGCGGGGGATAAACGCTCGGAACTGTCTCGGAGATGGGATGTCGTCCTCGACTAGTACTTGTTCGTTGAATCGGGATCTAAACTAATGTGCGACTTTTCCCGCGCTTGTGCACCGGATGCACAATTTTTCATCGAATCCTGTTTGGTTCTTAGCGCTTTTTGAGTGTGTTGTGATCGGTTAGATGCGATCACTTTGATTGTTAAGCACCTCGCGTATCCACAGCTATACTTTGACAATGTTATGACGCAATTTATCGACAAGAACACCATGAAAAGACAGACAAAATGAAACTACCTTCAATTTGTTTTTCCGTTTTGTTTGTTTGTTTCTTTTACAACAAGAAGCTAAGACAGCCTGTGTACACCAGCCCCCTCCCCTCCCCTCTTGCTAAAGTTGAGCCATTCAGTCCTCGATATAGCTTCACATCGATCGTCATAATAAGACCCGATAACCCTCGGGATCAATATCGCTTGATTTCTCCAGGTCCCGCAGTGCTTTGTTGAGCTCGGCCTGGCCTGGGATCGCATTCTGTTCATTCCTTATTTGGGTGAGTAGATCTAGAATATAAAAGCAGAACAGGAAGCCAGCATTTGACAGTTTTCCAATCTCCTCGTTATCCTCTCTCCCTACAGACGTCCCCCCACCCCATCCCACCCCCACTTAAAATTACGCTCCGTCGTGCGGATGTTCCTGCGGTCGCTACTTATTATAAGCGCGTGGCATGCACGCGCGGCCCGCGCGGTCGCCGCGCGTGGACTCGACACGCTGCTCGCGGCCTGGCGATACGACTTCGATTAAAACCGCCTCGCGCGCCTGTCCCAGTGTACGCTACTACCGTGCTCGGCCTTTTACAGTACTGATGACAGTTCTTATCGCCAGTTACAACTGTTTTCGGGATACAGATACAAACTTACCATTCGTCGAGTTATCGGAGTTCAAAAGGTCTTCAAATGTTCCCCAATTGTCTACAAATCTCTTGATAAGAAAGTATTGATTTTGTGGAGTCCCCAGGTAACCTTCAACACTGCTCTCCCTGATCAACTCCTTACTAGCTGCCGTTTGATTGATCATCTTTTCGAGTTCTTTCAAGAGATCCTCCTTTTTAACAATAAATGCTTCTAACTCAGGTAGTAACCTTTCTTCAAGGCTTTGAAGCGCCATAACATTTTCTCGGACGGGTGTAAAATCTTCGGCGTATGTTTGTTGCAACGAAAAGATCGCCAAGAGTAAAAATCTCATAAAATATTTCATCTCTCTCACAGTCTGCTACCAAATATAGAAATAAGCGACTTTTAAAAGATGCTTACAATTCAAGGAAATTTTGAATAAAATTAAAAATTCATAGCATGTTGCTTGTGCCTACAGTTTTTTCTGTAGAACAACCCGTGCGAGACAAAATGCAATTATTATTGGTCCACCAGCAGACGTTTGAGGGAAACCGTCTTTGAATAATTGCAATCCGTGAAGCCCGCGTGAAGAAATGGTTATGCCAGGTATCGGGCCAAACGAGAGAGTTGTTCAAATTCTCGCTCTCGTTTGGCCTGAAAAAACTCTTCTAAATCTAAATTGATGATCCGCAAAGGGGCCAGCCCATCACTGTAGATGTGCAGTGCGCTTTCAGCTACTCTCATGCGCTCTCGTCGAATTTGAACCTGCTCAAGTTTTTCTGTTGGGTTTATACTTGTGCCTAATACAATTCGTACTTTCCAGGGTAGGGTAAGGAATTGTCTTAGCGCTCTTCAAGACGAGGCCAGGTGTTGTACATGCGCTCTGAAGACAAAGCATCATGGCGGAGACTTGATATGGGAAGAAAGAAGTATTTCTAACATATTTAGCTCTGTTTTGACAGGTAAGGACTAATTTACTCTTACAAACAGTTTCGTTTTAGTTTTTCATGCTTTTCCCCTGTTATCTGATCTCTCAAAACCATTACAGTTATCATAATTCGTCGTTTTGTTTGGTGTAGTCAAAACCGGCTTTCGTGCTCATCTTTCGTGTATGTCTGTGTAATTTATGTATCCTTTCAGTTGTCCCAAAAGATTCCCAGAACAGTCACGACTGTAAAAAAATATTTGTTCTGTTCATTAGATGCTCATACATTTTGATCGCCTTTTTGTGTATCGAAAAGTTCATTCTAATTTACCTATCAAACCTGAAATATGATACGATGCTCAAAACACGAACAAATCAAAAGACTACAGCCTGTTTTGGGGGAATGCATGTCTTGTTTGAGTGATCTGTTCAACAACTTTCTGATTAAATACTGTAGGGTTATTGTTTTATTATAAAAGCGAAATGTAAAGTAGTGTTTTATGAAATCGTGCTGTATACAAATCCCCGTCAAAGGTCCTTGTGACACTTACTTGAATAGTTACCAAACAGAAAGTTGATTGTAAGCCTAGTTCACACTAGCGACATCACAACATAAGCATAGAGACATAAGAACGTTGTTTATGTTGTTATATTGCTAGTGTGAACATACAGTCATAATGACATACGTATTAGCATCGTAACGACATAGACATGACGACATAAGGAAAAACTGATCTTTTCCTTATGTCGTTATAGCTATGTTGTTATGATGCTAATATGTTGTTTTGACTGCATGTTCACACTAGCGTCATAAACAACATTCTTATGTCATTATGCTTATGTCGCTAGTGTGAATCAAGCCTAACATCTACCGATTTCACTGTTACAGTACCGTGCAAATGTAAGTTGACCCTTGATACTC